TTATAATAATTATGAGAAGCAGAACTATCAATAGATATTGACAAGTATGACTTTGAAGTCAAGAGTATTAAATATCTAGATTTTATCATAGAAGCTGGTAAGAAAATTTAAATAAATTCTGAGAAAGTCTTCATCATTCTTGAATGAGAAGCTTCATATACTGTGAAAAATATACAAAGCTTCATTGAATTTACTAACTTCTATCAGTAATTTATACAAAACTTCTCAGATATTATAAGATCACTTACAGAACTTATTAAGAAGAACTCAGTATTTCAGTGATCAGTAGACACTGAAGCTGCATTCATATAGATGAAGAAAATGTTCATTAATATCTCTCTGCTAATAATATTTAACTCTGATTATGAAACAGTTATTAAAACTGACTTCTCTGACTATGTTACAGAGAGAGCTATATTATAATATAATAATGAAGATGTCTTATAATCATGCATCTTCATGTTTAAGAAATTAAGTTCTGTCAAATACAACTATAAGATCTATGATAAGAAACTTCTTATAATTATATACTATCTAGAAAAATAAGACTCTGAACTCTGAAGTGTCTCTGAATTTGAGATAGTCACAGATCATAAGAATCTCAAATACTTTATAACTATCTGTAAACTTACTGAATAACAGATATAATAGTCTGAGTTCTTAAGCTGCTTTTATTTTACAATACACTACTATTCTGACAGCTAGAACTTGATAACAGATGCTCTCTCATAATAAGAGTAAGATATGTCTTTCAATGTAACAGACACCTGTTGAATGAACTGAGAACATCAGCTTCTAAATCTGAAGATATTAGTTAATCAAGATGAAACAACTCATGACACTATACACACTTCTCTGATTAGAACATTCTCTCTTCAAACTATTACTAACACTGATATCTTGACTTCTCTCAAATCTACACTGAATGAATTATGACATGCAACAGTTCAAACTGATGAACTTCTTCAAGCACTCACTGAAGCAGTATATCAAGAAGCATCTCAATTCTCTCCAGAACTACATATAAGAACTGATATCTCAGAATGTTCAATTAATGATAATAATACTCTATAATTCTGCAAATGATGCTGAGTCTCTCACTCTGAATTCTTATACACTCAGATAATGCAAGAGATGCATGATTTATATATAATCAGTTATTCAGACTGTGAACAACTGTATAGAATAATCTTCTGAGAGTTTTACTGATCTGAGATATTAAACAGTATCAGATACTTTATCTGAAACTATAATCACTGTTCTTCTGTTATCTCATAAAAGAACTGTAGAAAAGATCTATTGAAATCACTCAATGTCTCTGATAGAATCTGATAAGATGTAGTAATTAACTTTACTGTTAATTTATCTGAGAGTAAGAGTTATAGAAACATTCTGATCATTGTGAATTAATTAAGTAAAGATATAATATTAAAATCTTATAATAAGATAAATACTGAATAAGTTACTGAAGCTTTTCTACAGAGTCTGTTCTATCAGATACATGAATTACTGAGATTCATAGTATTGAATTAAAACTATCAATTTATAAGCACTCTCTGAACAAGAATCTGTCAAGTTCTCAAGATTATATGTTATCTGTCAACTGTCTATCATCTCAAGACTGATGATATATCAGAATGAATAATTCAGACTGTAAAGAATTATCTTTATAAGTTCTGTAATTACTTATAAGATGATTAATATAATTTTCTTCTACACACAGAGATTACTATCAACAGTTGAGATGCTATTTTAACAGATATAAGTCTGTTCTTTCTTATATATAAATATCATATGAAAGTGTTGAATCTTCTAGAAATCATACAGTTCACACTGAATCTCTGCAGTCTGATTCAAATCACTGATAATATAGTAATAAAGCTCTGAGATGTGTGTGACTGAGTAGAGATCTTCATAATAACTGTGAAACAAGATCAAGAAGATTAAATCAATATCTGACAAGATCTCACAGAGCAGTATAAGATAGAAGACCTTGTGTGATTAAATCTCAAGAATATATGAATTATATATACATCTTATACACTAGACTACTGCTATGTCAGGTATAAAGTGATAGAAGTTCTAGATAGTTATAACTATTATTTTGACACATTATCAGAAATTCATGATGTATTTCATACAAGCTTACTTCACTGTGTTGTCACTGATCTGTTCTCTTCTCAGCTGACTTCTGACTGACAGCTGTCAGACATCATAGAAGAAGATAATAAGCTTGAGTAAGAGATTGAGAATATTCTTAATAAGAGATTCTGCAGCTGCAGCTGATAATATTTTATAAAATGAATCAGCTATAATCAACTGATCTGAACTTCAAGTTCTGTGTTATCTGAAACAGTGACTCTTGATCAATGAGAACTACTTCTGAAAAGAAGAGACTAATGTGACAGACTGCATCTAATCAATTATATAGACTATTTCATTATACTTCACAGATTTCAATTACTTCATTCTTGAATATATATGCTCTGATTCTCAATCAATCTCAATCACTGATTCTCAGCTGTTACAAACATGTACACTCTGATTCTCAGTCATTCTTAATCATCAATTCTCAGCTGCTATGAATATGTATATATTCTTCTACTCTGAAGCTTCACTGTGTATATCATCATATACATGTATAAATATTCATCTCAATCACTGATTCTTGCACTTTCTCTTTCTTTTCTTCTCTAATATTTTTATCTTTGTTAAATAAGATCTATCAATATAATATCAATCTATTCAGTGTAGGCCTCTTACACTTAACTTTATAAATTCATTATTTCTGTATTATCTTGAAATCTTAGACTAATAATATTCTTATAATATATGTGATTTTTATATTTATATCTTAAGTTCTTAGAATAGAAGTATCATCTCAAAGTTAACTAGTATGTTTTTAAACACAGGAATTTTAATTCAATTTCTTATATAAAAAAAAGCTCTCAGAAATTCTGAGATTAAAAAATATAATCATTTTCAAGAGTATATATCTATGTTAAATATAGATTTTTTTGAAATATTAAAGAAATATTTCTATTCTTCTTCTCTTTAGCTATAAGCTAAGGTGATTTTCAAGTCTTAAAGATGTGTGAGTATATAGTAATAGAAAGTCAAAGTTGAAGAATCTGAAAAATCCTTGTAAATCTCAGAAATCTTCATTGAAGATGAAATCTTTTCTTCTCAGATTCTCTGACAAGGATTGCTCTGAGCACATGACTTATGTCAAAAGTAGATTAGTGTCATACTGAATTAATAATACTGCAACTCACTTAAAATGAGTCAGAGAGTTTAGAAAGTAGAAAACTTGACCTTACTAAGTGTGTCACTTGACCTTATTACATAATCATGACTCTGACCTCGCACAATACAGTAATAATCAGTTGGTAATTGACTTTCAATCTTTTAATTCACTTATAGTTAGACTGGCTGCTGAGACTATGAATTTCACATTTGATTTTATTTAATCTGATTTCATACATTTCTTGGCATGAATTCCGCTGAGACTGGCTATCAAAAAAACATGTAAAGTAACTATATATCAGATCTTAAAATGAAATCATGACTTGAAAAAAATGAGAAAGTGATCTCATTTGATCTCATTTAGTCTCATTCTTGATATAAAGTTACTATTTTTAGACATTTTAAGGTTTTTTTTAGACTATTTTTAATTTTTTAAAAAGTAATGCTTTTTGATAACACTCAAATGAGATTTAAAGTCATTTAAAGCAATAAAAATAATTTAAATTGAGAAGTGAAAATTATAATCTTATTTAAAAAATGTAATAAGAGTAGATAGTAAGTCTCACTGAGATAGTACAGAACTACTATCTAATGTTAAAACTGTGTAATAAGAGCAGTCAAATTGATAATGAGACTATCAAAAAATCTGATCCTGGTCTCAGACACAGTTATATAGTCAGTCTACTTATAGTCTTATTTATTCAGCTCATTAATTAATCAAAGCATGTATAGCTGATTCATAATCAATTAAATAAATAGATAAATTCATATAGAATATAAAGAGATATTTTACAGAATTTTAAAATATATCAAGATAAAAATATTTAATAATTGATTTTAAATTGATTTTAAATTGATTCTGAATTGATTCTGAATTGATTATAGTAATAAAAATAGATTTAATCTATATATTTAAGTAATTAATAATTGATTGAAAATCAGTTAATAATCAATTCAGTATAAATTATATAAATACTTACTTTATTATTAAATTCAAGAATAATTTTAGTATTAAATTGATTTTGAATTGATTTTAAATTGATTTTGAATTGATTGTAGAATTGATGATAAATAATTGAGTGATTTCAAATTACAAGAAAAGATGTATTGAGCGAGGTCAGATAGTGGCACGGGCCACATTTGCAAGGTCAGCTTACATAACGAGGTCAAGTGGCGCACTTAGCGAGGTCAAGTTTTCTGTATACACCAGAGGGTCTGAGCCCGCTGAGATAAGTTTCATTCATGAATTTGATGAGGTGCATGTGATATCTGTTGAAGGTCCCGCGGTTGGTCGGCCCTTCTACCAGCAGGCGCTGGTGGTGATTGAGCTCTTTTGTCCCAGTAGCCTACAGATTATGAGACTGTTGAGCGTGAGCCCTGCTGTGGTCAACATGCATGGGTTCAATCCCAGAATGGACTTAAAAATTCCTAACAAATACCCTGGACATTTTAACAGTGTCAAGAGACATCCCAGGAGTGTGTCCTAGAAGTCCTGTGAGCCCTAGGACTGACTGAGTCCATTATTAAAGGAGCCATTGTGGGGAGGCCACTGAAGGGAGCCACTGAGGGGAAGTACTGTACTCTGTGGTAGCTGGTCCGAGGGGGGGTGTTGGGGGTCCCGCGGTTGGTCGGCCCTTCTACCAGCAGGCGCTGGTGGTGATTGAGCTCTTTTGCCCCAGTAGCCTACAATATCACATGAGGTCACATTACAGGGCATTTTGCACAGAAAAGTTGAAAATAGAGAGATAAATAGAGAGATATTTGTATTTTTAATTTATTTTTTTGTTGCTATTTGTAGGTTTTTTTTGCGCTTGTGAATGGATATTATTTATTTTTAATTATTAGAAAAATCATCTCCTGCTCTCTCTTGGAACAAATTAAGGGAAAGGTATTTACCAAGGTACGGTAATCAATGTGCATGCAGTACATACATATAAGCCCCCGTCGGTTAGCATTACAGTATCCTCCTTTTACTATTTTGAAAATAAGAAGTCACGTAAATAAAGAGGCAGGAATGTCATATAAACTCGGTAAAAATTATCATATTATGTATTTCATCTTTACCCTCCTCCGGCGCATATAGTTTTATTTCTCTTTTCTCTCCCATGTCTTGCGTTCCGTTTCAACAACGCCCAATATACAACAATGAAGTTCCACAACGACAACGACAACAACATCATCATCAACATCAACAACAATATTTTGTCATATTTTCAAGTGTAATATAATAGATCTCATGCATTGCCTAGGTAGAATGGGGCGCGCGCCCTCTGGATTTGGCTCATATGAGAGGTTTCGAGATACATGTAGGCAGATGGTAAGAAGGAAAAGACGGGATGGGGTGACAAGGGGGCGAGGAGGAGGTTGGATAGATGAATGGAACGGAGGTGTGGGTGTGGGACACAGGTTTGGCATTGAGGTTGTGAGGTTGAGTTGGTAGGAGTTCGGAATTTGGGGGTTTGAAGGAGTTCAGACAAATTAGGGTATTCATGAGGAAGATTTTGTTTAAATCTTCTGGTAGAAGAGGAGGTAGGCAACTTTGTTATCACGTACTCCAGACCCATATCGGCTGCTGCTCGGCGTCCGCTTGCCAGACGAAGACTCTCCTGACGGCGAGGTTGTTCCGTTAACAACAGCAGCCATGGACTTCTTGCCTGCATGGCCACTGCCACTGCCGCTTGTGTGGCCGTTGACATGGCTCCATCCTTGCTCATTCTCATGTCTTTGCTGCTGCTCCATATCGAACTGTTCGAAGATATTTCCCTGTGGTGTTGTATTCGCAATCTTGTGCTGCTCGAGGGCCGCAGCAAGAACCTTGGGGTCCTCCTCACTTCCAGCATTCGCGACGTCCTCGCTCCTGACGCGGCGGATCACAGTGTCATCAAGGCGGATCCATTCACGGCCATCTTGCCTGCGAACATCAACAGTATAGTGGCCGCCGCTCGCGTTTTTGCCGTGGTGGTATATGACTCCGGTGAGACGGTATTTGGGAAGGCCGCTACCTTGAGCAGAAATAATGTTGCGTCGATGAGGTGGGAAGGCTTCCTTGGGAAGCTCCAATTCCAGAGGATATCCAACCTTTTTCCAAATCTTTTGGGTACCCTTGGTAACGTTATCATATTGGAACCGCTTTAGGTGAAGAATGAGGACGGGGGGTAAGCTTTCGATGAAAACTTGCTTTGTAGCCGTAACTTTGGGGCCACGCGACGAGTTGAAGTCGCCTTGCATGGTCTCCGGCTTCGTGAGGCCTTTAAGCGCATCAATGATATTGTTGACCTGTGGAGAGCCAATGTCAAGTTGAAGAGACTGGTAAGGCTCGAGGGTAACGGAGTTTTTGTTTCCTGGCACTCTAAACTCTGATCTGAGTTTTCCACCGAATATTTTCGTAATTGGAGATTCTGCAGAGATGTGCCCAGATGACCGGGTGATTGCAGGCTTCTGTTTGTGGCCAACTTCCAACCATCCTTCCACAGAAGGTTCGGACGTTGCGGATACGAAATCAGCTTCAACGGCCGTGGAAATGTCAGATGCAGTAGATGTAGCTTGTTTAACTGCCTGGGTGCACTCGTCATGAAGCTCTTCAAGCAGGAAGCCAAGAAATTCTTGTGCGTCTTGTTGGTGGCCGCGCTATAGGGCATTAGCTTGACTGAAACAAAACTGCTAGGCGCAAGGAGCTTGTAGACTTACCCGCATGTCTCTAAACCGCGGAAGATGTCTAATGACTTGATAAACATATTCCGGAATGAATGATTCGCCGTATAGCTCTAATTCGTTTTGCTTCAATCGGAGTCTTAATTTCTCAACGGAGGTAGCAGCATCAATTACCCGAAATTCTCGCATAAACATGATCCTGAAAGGCGGAATAGCTGTTAGAAGCGGTAATAGTAATAACGGCAATGATATCTGGAGTTGGGGGTAGTACAACATACATAGCATCAATTAGTGGAAGATCGCTCTTAAAAGAATGAACCGCTCGCCGGCCGATTTTGTCAAGAAACTCATAGAACGGAACACAAAAAACCAGAATTTGAAGAATCTTGATAAATAAACAGTTAGCACCTCTGAGAAAAAAACTATTTTTAGAACTATAAGGGCTACTTACAGAATTCATATAACACATATTACCAGTATTTAAAAGCCCGCGCGGCTCAATAAATGCAATTTTGCCACCATCTCGTTCAGAGTTGGAGCCTAGATTGTTAATAACATCAAAGAGAGATTCGCCTTTAGACACTCCTAGGCCACCGATCCCAGTAGTTGTGGGCGAGGCGCCGCTAGTAGCCGTAGGTGCCGCGGTTCGCACAAGATCAGCCCACGACTTTGGGGGAGCTCGGACTGGAGTTGTGGGTTTAGGAGCTTCCTGTGTTACGGTGGCGGACTCCGTTGGCGAGAGTGCATTATCCGTCGTCCGCGCCCCATCTGGGGTGGAACTGAGTGGAACCTGTCCATCGCGTTTCAGGGTTTCAGGGGTAGTCTTAGCAGTGCTGGTAGATGGTTGTTTTGCTGTGTTGGGGCTGGAAGGAATTATTGGCACGATAGGAACAATAGGAGCAGCTTGCCGCGCGCCGCTAGTCTGCGCTGGGGTATGTTGCGACTGTGCCGATGTTTGAACAGGAGCAGTGGACGAAGGAGTGTTGGGTTGGACGGGGCTCGTTTCTGAGGAGGGTTGAGGAGATGCAGGGGCTTCTCCTTCTAACTCTGATGGTGCGTTCTTCGAGTGACATTCAATGGGTGTGCATTCCTCGGCCGCCACATCAGATTGTTCAGCGTTCGTTGAAAACTCTACTCGTACTGTGGATGTTTGCAAAATTCGGGCCTTCCGTCGTCGACGGGGAGCCCTAGCAGGAAAGGGAGCTTCGGGAACCGAGAGCCAAGGAAGCTAATAAAAAAAAGTGTGGTTAGCTTTCGACGTCTACGTTCTTTTTGCACTCAACCATGGGAATAGTGCTTGAGGAGAGTACATACGGGTGGTTGGAAGAGTTGTCTTGATAGAGGAGTTGCGGTTTTGGTTCTTTCAGGTGCATGTACTGTATGAGAAGGAGGGTGTATTTGAGGCACAGGGCCAGCGCTGCTGCCCTTGCTGTGGTTTGAACTTGCCGGTTGAGAAGGTAGAGAACTGACGACAGGGCTGGCAGGTAAGTTCCCGTGACTACTCTGAACAGCTGAACCTGGAGCTGAAGGAGGAGTTGGCGTGGGAGAGAATGAAGATTGTAAAGGGGTGGAAGACGTGGTGCTAGAGTGTGAGGGTATATGAGAATGTGTGTAGTGTGGCCCCGAAAGCGTAGGCAGAGGCGGCTGCGAACGAGGGTAGGACGAAACAATTAGAAGCGTATTTGGTTGAAACTGTTGCGGTGGTGGAGGGTGTGGAGGAGGGGCTTGTTGGTAAGGATACCAGTGCTGATATTGTTGCGCTTGCGCTGGGTGGAGAGCAGTTGGTGGGCCATTCGCGTGGGCATGAGGCTGGTGATAGCCCATATAGCCGGGGGTGGACCGGATGTTGGGAGGCCCCGACACGTAAGGTATCTCATGCTGCCTTCTCGGAGCCGGTATAGGCGGCTGGCCATGGTGCATCGGGGGGAGATGATGGTTCATCATGCCCCCCAGATTGTGTAGAGATAACTCCTAGTGGACGCGCTGATACTGCGTTGACTGTGCAGTCAAACCTGACCTATCTGGGAGCCATACGAAAGTAGACAAAGGGGCTGTCGGGGGGATGAGAGAAGACGACGGCTCTGCACACGATCACAAAGCCATGTCTCTACAGCAGCAGCCACAAGAACAGTATATAAATATATCAAGATGGAGGGCTTGTTGGGGGGTATCGGCCACAGAGAGAGAAAACGATGCGGATCGGTGGTGGTAGTGGTGGTGAATAGTGGTGGGTGCAAGGCTAGAAGTAAATAGTTCGTCGTCAGAAGATATTTTGTTTCTCCACCGTAGGGGAATTTTTCAGGACATACCCGACTCACACCTCGTTACCCGGTAGGACGAGGAAAACGCGGGGTGGATTGGAGGCTAACAGCAGACACAGCAGACAGAGAGAGCACAGCTTTGCACAGACAACAGCCGGGGGAGCGGAGAGATAGAATAAGCGCGTAGGTGCTGGGGAGACGTCGCTGTCCTCGTCGTCGTGCTTCTTTTATTTTATATTTTTTATATTTTTTTTTCCTAGGCAGGATTTGGCGGCGAGCGAGGCTGATGAGTCAGCACGAGCCTCAAGCCTCCGTTTGTGACAGTATAATACCGTGTGGTATTGTTATATACAGTGTTATACACGCTGATACCTGATAAATCGTATTTATATTAGCGTTCCGTACGTGACGATACGACTCCGACCTCCCCTCCTTGCCCTAGCGTCAACTTCTTCGCATTCTCTCCATCTTCTTCTTCATCTCTTCTGCGTCATCTTCCTCTGCATCTTATTTCTTTTCGCTTCTTTGCGTCGTCCACGGGAGGGTCTGGCTTTTCAATGGACCCCCGGGATATCCGCTAGTATTTTCACAGGCTCTTGCCGGGCTGACTTCTTCCTGGTTCTTGTCTTTCTATTGTCTTGCCTCCTACGCCTTGTCGTCATACCTAGGTAGGTTACTAAGCTAGGGGGATACATCCATCTAACTACAGAATCACCCATCCGATCTCCCTGCCAATCGGCTTATTCCCCCGCAGCTAGCTATACTGATCTCCCTTCCAAGGTTCTTCGTCGTCGTTCCCCTGCCTGATCGACGACTGCACTGTCCTGCGCGTCCTTCCTGACACCCAAGGGATCATGTCGTCCGGTCCTGGCCAGTCTTCGGCCCCATCGAAAGCAGTCAACATCTCCAGCCAGCCTTCAACGTCGTTGCAGGTTGCCTCAAATCCGGGCATTGATACCGCGTCTCAACGGAGGGTATCAGCGGGCTTGGGAGCTGGGTCGTCATCCAAGAGCTTATCTTCTCCAAGGAACCATCAGAGTAGGAGGAATCAGCATAAACGGCATCGTCGTCCTCGTCTGGATGACGAGGATGTGGTTGCAGAATCTGTGTGTTTCCGTCACCCTGTATTGTTCATATATTACCTCAATCTGGTTTTCTATTTCTAAACTAGCATGTCGGGACAACAGGCTGCGATGAAGTCTACAATGAGCCGGAAGGGGCAGACCTCTATTACACACTTGATGAACTTTTCTCTTCCGCCTCGACCCCAACAGAATCCCAATGCATATCCTCGTGGTCCAAGGCGCAACAATACATGGGGCCCGCGTTCCGGGTACCATGCTGTTGACAAAGCTAGGTAATTAACATACTTATCCCATTTCTCTGCTGGGTGTCAACTGGACATTTGCTGACGTAAGCAGATATGTCCATGCAAATTATCGATTCATCGTCAATCCCAAGAACAACTACTATGCCCAAGCCACTAACGCAGACATTCATCTTGATTGGAATTCGGTGCTGCAAGTTCTAGTCTCGACTGACACCCAAGGGACCAGCTGCCCGATCTGTCTCTCGACCCCCATTGCTCCTCGTATGGCTAAATGTGGACATGTCTTTTGCCTGCCTTGTCTTATCCGGTTCATGCACTCGACAGATGATTCGAATCCGCTTCCGGAAAAGAAGGCTCGCTGGAAGAAATGCCCAATTTGCTGGGACATCGTCTATATATCAGATACGCGGCCTGTCGGGTGGTACACCAGACAAACCGATCCACTCGTTGAAGGTGGGGACGTTGTTCTTAGGTTGGTGATGCGACGCCCGGGAAGTACGCTTGCTCTTCCACGGGATGGCGTTGAGGCGCCTAGTCAAGACGACGATATTCCCTGGTATCATGTTGCAGAGGTACCCGACTATGCGCGGATCATGAAAGGGGGTAAGGATTACATGACTTCACAATATGATAGTGAAATCGAAGACTTGCTACGGCAGGAACGGGAAGATGAATTGCTTTTCGGTGATGATACCACCTGGACTCGAAAAGCTGTCGCGGCAATAAAAGACGCGAAGGAGAGGGTTAGGGATATTGGGAACCCGCCAACCATGCACCGTCAACCGCTGGAGCGCCGACCGACCAGAGTTCCCATCAAATTCGAGGAGCCGCCGGAAGGTGTCCCAGAGATGTATAAAATCGAACATGCTACAAAATCCGGACAGAGTTTACCCAGCCATGTACATACACCGTCAAATCCTCAGCTTACCCTGCGAAATGATTCCTCTAATCACGACCAAATGGACGATGTTTCGTCTGCTTTATCGAAACTAGAGGTTAATAACCACTCCGAAATGCAAAACTGGAGGTCAGAAAGCAATCTTGATGCAGTGCCTAGACGTGTAGGAAAACCTAGAGACACCGATGGCGCCGTGCACCCCTCTGATCATCCTTTCTTCTTCTATCAAGCACTCCCCCACTTCTACCTCTCTCCATTAGACATCCGTATCCTCAAGACTGCCTTTGGGGACTACTCACAATTCCCCTCAACAATCCTTCCTCGAATAGAACGCATATCGTCGGGGCACATTGTAGACGAGGATCTGCGAAAACGCACGAAATATCTCGGTCACCTCCCTTATGGCTGTGAAGTTAGCTTTCTGGAATGCGATTGGAGAGATATAGTAGGCCCGGACGTACTCGACAAATTCCGTGACGATATTGAGCGACGACGAAAACGGAACCGAGAAAAGGCCGCACGGGAGGAAAAGGAACGCATCCGTGCTGAAAAGAATGAAGATGAACAGCGTTGGGCTGCAGCTCGACGGAAGCGACCAAGCATAACCTCCGCCGATCGGCCATTTTCCGAGAACGATTTCCAACCCCTTAGTCTCGAACCTTCGTCAGGGCCGGGATCCGGCTTCGACCCGAATATGTCTTCCGCCTCACCCCCTTGGTCCTCGTCGAGAGGCATAAATCGACCATCCTTTACCGCGCTGGCATCTCCCTCCGGAAGTCCGCCTGACTCGTCGTCTACTAGAAATACGGCTCATCGGACAGTTTGGGGCACGGCAGCTATCGCCCCAACCTCACCACGGGCTACATATAGGAACCCTGACCGCGAACCGAATGATGGATGGCTGCAGGACTGGGAGCGAGAGTTGATAGCGGAGCAAGAGCGCCAAATATTTGCTACCACAACTAATATGGACAGAAACGGGCCCAGTAGTAGTACCAATGCTGCAGGTACAACCACAGGGGGAGGGAAAAAGAAGAAAAACAAGAAGATTACGCTGATGTCGACGACGGCTCGGCGGGCTGCTTGACAGTATTCAAATTTGACGATATTGAATGTTTTTCCTCATTCCGCCCTTTCAGTATAGCGACTTTTGTCAAAGCCTATCCTGCTCTACATATCTTACTCTCCTTGGACTTGTTCCCCATTTTTCTTATATTGCTCCTTTTAGCCTCTTTCTGTATTTTGCATAATGAGCTCTTGTCTCACTAGTGGATTCGCTCTCCACGAATGATTGTGAGAAGGTCTTTTTTTATAGATCTATCTGTTTATATTTATATATTATTATTACCCACCTGCCTTCAATGCTATGAGAACTCTGTTGCTCATCCTGAATACAGTGCCGTCCCTACTTGTTTTTCGTTGTCCCTCATTGGACTACCACCCCCATCCTATCTGTTTATTTTGAGCGAATCCAAATAGTTGGCTGGGTTGGTTATGTACGGACACTACACATGAAGTGCTTGATGTGGAATTTTGCTCCGGTGGCTTGGACGCTCGATTATACGGGTAGATGTGACAAGCGGAGCACGGCGGAGGAGCGAGGGACGATAAGAGAACGGTTAGAGGCTGCACGCTTCCCTCTTATCTATCTTCCCTGGAAGCCAGGCGTTCCGCTTGTGTTATTAGATGTGAGATAATAACTTACATGCGCTGAGCTCACGAATGCATGGGTGCTTCTTTTCTTTTAGCTTCCACCCCCTTCTTCGTCTTCTTATCTATTGCTTGTTCACGCACGTTTATTTTACGATGTGGTACATCGCATGCTGGACCTAGTTCTGACCGGATACATCAAAATGCTGGCCTAGATTGGGGGTGTTTGTTTGGCACGATATAGACATCACAGAGAGGGTCTCCGCCACCATACCTGTGGTCGGTCATGGATGCGCTGCCATATTTCAATTCGCTTGCAATATGTTGTATTGCATGGTGTCTGTTTCTCACGGTTTGAGTTTCTGGAGTCTGCGCTTTTTAAGTACTCTGCTAAGGTTCGAAGACAGACCATTGAGTGTTTGCTTCTACGTGCACCGATGCGAGAGGAATTTTGGATGTCTCTTTGACTACATCCGAGTTACATAAAGGGGAAGGCAACCTGGTTGGTGTTCGGCTGCTGGTGGGTTTTATTACTAGTGGCGAAGCCTGGGGAGAGAGGTGTGACGTAGGGCTTTCACTGCTTGTACAGTGCTTACTGTATACTTTTGCCCAAGATTCTATCAAACTATTTTTTCAATATAAACGTACATGAGAAGATTTGAAGTTTTTTTTTTTTTTTTTTTTTTTTTTTTTTTTTTTTTTTTTTTTTTTTTTTTTTTTTTTTTTTTTTTACAAGTTGTCGCTCTGGCGGTATATACTGATGATTCGCTACTACTACTGAATATTTGGGCTGTAGGAGCGAGGCCGGGCCTGGTGTGTGGGGATATATATGGATTAATTCGGAGGTTAGCTCTTTTTCTTCGAGTTCAGAATAAAATAAAACGCCTGTCGGGCTCACAGTTCATCCAATCATCGACGCCTTATGCTTCACCTGCCAGCTTACCCTGTATCTCATCCTTATGTTCTGAGGGACCTCAAGGGAATTCTGATTTGCCAATTGTTGATATTTTGCCCACGCAGAATTCATGATACTTTAGCATCAATCACGACATTCTCCGTTTTGCAGAAGGCAGCGTCCAAAGCATTATAGATTGCATAGATTGGAAGATGCTGCAGCCTCATGTAAACACACTTCTGGTTTGGGACTAGGCGGGAAAGACCCTCAAAATGCATGAAAAAACCAAATACAGGGGTAATACAAATTAAGACCCCTCTGTTTTATAGCAAGCGATTATAACTCGCTAATTTCGCATATTAGCTCATACTAGCGGTATCCTTTTCCGTTATTTTTCAAAAGTTAAAATTGAACCACGGATTTTTCGCGATTTCCTCTTTTAGCCGCATTCGGGTTTGAGGACAACTTCACCTTCAACTTTGCTGTCGCGGTTGCTGTTGCTGTTTTTCTTTTTCCCTTATTCCTCTCCGTCCTCTCCATCTTCTCCTATTCCTGACGCTGGACGCCCATCTCCCACTAGCGTCACTATGACCGTTACTCGCTCACAGACGGGGAAAACCCCCAAGTAAGCACGCCCCGGGCGCATTCCACGTAACGCAGCACGTCTTGCTGTTCAATTGAAACCAGGATCTCCTGAGTTGATCTTCACCCTATTGCCACCGCTAACTTTTGATTGCACCTAGGAAAATTCAGCGTGAGGGTTTCGTAGAGACACCACGTCGTGTCACCAGAAGTCGTGCGTCCATGACTCCCGACCTGAGTGCGGACACCGAAGTCTCCAACTCTGCATCTTCGAGCCTAATCCTCGTGAATCCACTGACATCCAATTCAACTGCAAGGAGGCGTGCCGCCGATAAGGAAAAAAACAGTGATGTCGTGGATAACCTCGTCGATGACAAGAAGCCCGCCAATGGACATGTCAACGATGCTAATGCCAACGGGACCACCCCGAAGAACTACAAAATCGATGAATCGGGCCACTTCGAGTTTGGCGGGTCTCTAGGCTGTTTATCTATGATGATTGGATTCCCGCTGCTGATGTACTATATGTGGATTGGCGCGACATATTATGGTGGACGCATGCCATTGCCTGAGGAAGGGCAGACTGCGAAAGAGTTTGGGCTTCATTTGGTTAACCTCGCGTATGAGGGCGCGTTCCCTAGCACCAAAGCGTGGATCACATACTGGACCTTCTTTATCTTTGAGGGACTGTGTTATTTGTTTCTCCCCGGCATCTATGTTAATGGCCGAAAATTGGAGCATTTGGGCGGAAAACAATTGCCGTATTATTGCTCTGCATATGCGTCCTTCTACACTACGATTGCTGTTGCCGTTGGTCTGCACGTTAGTGGATTGTACAAACTATATACAATTGTTGATGAGTTTGGCCCCTTGATGAGCGTTGCCATCTTGACCGGTTTCATTGTTTCCATCATCGCTTATATCTCCGCTCGAGTTCGTGGTGCTGAGCATCGCATGAGTGGCTACCCCATTTACGACTTCTTCATGGGTGCTGAGCTCAACCCGAGATTATTTGGAATCTTGGATTTCAAAATGTTTTTTGAGGTCCGACTTCCTTGGTATATTCTATTTCTGATTAGTTTGGGAGCTGCGGCTAGACAGTGGGAGACCTATGGCTATGTTTCTGGCGAGGTTGCGTTCTTAGTGATGGCGCATTATTTGTACGCCAATGCATGCTCGAAGGGCGAAGAATGTATCATATCCACATGGTTCGTAACTCCTCTCCCCGCTCCTGATACCAATTATGCTTTGGGAGCAAGCAGTCGTAAGTGGGAGTCGCTAACATACCGCCTATAGGGATATGTACTACGAAAAATGGGGATTTATGCTTATCTTCTGGAATCTTGCTGGTGTTCCTCTGAGTTACTGCCACTGCACCATCTATCTTGCGAATCACCACCCAGATACCTACCGAATGAACAGATATTTGCTTGCCGCCTTATTAATTGTCTATCTGTTTGTTTACTGGGTGTGGGACACGACCAACAGCCAGAAGAACCGTTTCCGACAGCAACGGGAGGGCGGTATTACCTATAGGAAGACTTTCCCACAACTACCTTGGCAAACTGTCCAAAATCCTCGGACTATCACGTCCAAGGATGGCCATACGATTTTGGCCGATGGGTGGTGTATGTTAAATCTCATTCCCACAGTTACTGTACTTTTCTTCCAGCTAACCTTTTCTTCCTTTTTTTTCTAGATGGATATGCCCGGAAAATCCATTACACCTGCGATCTCTTTTTCGCTATGAGCTGGGGCTTGGTGACTGGATTTAAGAGTCCTTTCCCCTGGTTCTACCCTGTCTTCTTCGCTACCATGATCAGCCATCGTGCGCTTCGAGATATTCAACGCTGCAGGCAGAAGTACGGAGAAGCCTGGACCCAGTATGAGAAGGAGGTCCCTTACCTCTTTATTCCCGTAAGTTGCACAAGTATTCTTTTTATCTTGTTGTTTCCAGCCGCTTTGCTCAAAATAAGCTGACAAAAGAATCAGTACGTAATTTAATCGACATGGATACATACGTACCATTAGTATGCCCGTGCACGCGAGGATACGATACCCCATAGACAAGAAACTGCCAGTGTGGCTTTTCAAAAGTTATCGTTCCCAACGAAATAACTTTTTCTCTCCTTCGATGTATTAAATTTTGCGAGGACTAATTTTTAATGCTGCCCTTTTCCCCTTCCTTTTCGTTTTTACTTTCCCAATGGGACGATTCTGAGAGATGGGCTGGCCATCCATATATCCATTTGCTGGAGAGCAACTTTTTACATTAATAGAAACAAATTCATAGTTACTTAGTTTTGATAACTTTACTCATCTGTTTGAAAATTCCAATCTCACCCTTATTGCTAGGGTATCAAGAACCCCCTACCACAAACGCAATCTGCGCAAGAGAAAAAGAGACTCGTCTAGTATTCCCGAAATAAAGCACCACGAACCAATAAATGAATAAATAAATAAATAAAAAATAAAATAAAATTCACTCCCGTTTCCGTCCATAGACGACCCTCAGCTTCGTATAAAGATGGGTCCCCCTATTCCTCAAATCGTTACCCACCGCCCACAGCAGGACATCAAGCTCGTCTTTACTCCACCCCAACACTCGAGTGAAGAGCGCAAGCGAATATGACCGCACCATCTCCTGGACATGGGTTGCCTGATAGCGACCTAGTTCTTTCAAGCGTGGGTCCTGGGGCCAGGGGGAGAGGGGGACCTGGTTCGTTGTTATTGGCCAGTTAGTCCAAGTCTTGTATCCCCTCCCGCGTCCACTCCTCCTCAACTATCCATAACCCAGGGCTATTTCATCAACCCGGAGTTTCTCAATGGAGCCTACAACATACCTTAAACACCACCTCCTCAACGTCAACAAACCCCGCTTGCTCCATCCACTGCTTCCAACTCCCCTCAACACCTAACTCCTTCCCAACCTGCCGACTCGCCTCCTCTAGCAACTGCTGCCACTGCGTAGCCGTCACGGCCCGCTCGTGCGTCCCGTCGTCTGAGAAGAACTTCGTTTCCATGCCTTGCACCTCCAGGAAGCCGCCGGGGGCTAGGTGGCGGTAGGCCTGTCCGAAGAGTTTGGGGTAGTCGTGGACTGAGCCGGCGATTTCGCGCATGTGGATGAAGTCAAAGGGGCTGTGGGCAGGATCTGGGGTGGGTACGGGAGCAGACGGGGCATCGTTATTGTAGACGTCATTGGTAATGGTGCTAGCGCAACCGGTGCTTTGGAGACTGTCGGCTGAGGCGGTTTGTTCAAGGGGAGGTGTGTCGGCTTTCGCGCTAGCTGTGTATGGCCATTCGGCTTCGAAGTCGTCTATTTCAAAGGTGCAGTTTGGGGGTATGTGGATGCGTTGGATTGGGCTTATGTCCATCCCTATTATTTATTAGCGTCTGATGGATTCGTCCACCTACGGTCCGTCCCATCTATCTCTTGGTCTTGTTTCATTTTGACATTTCTTTTCACGCACCGATAACTTGTGACTTCTGGTGCTGGCTGCCATGCATATTAATAAACAGAGTTAGCTTCATAGTGCATTTGGTCAAGGCAATTTCTATGTTTCCGTCTTCCTTTTGCTCCTTGGAATTTTCAGTCCTCGCACGCTCCTTCTCCTCACTCAACCACCACAAGATTTGACCAATTGCACGTCCGGGAGGGCATGGAACTCACTCCGCAAATTCAACTGCCCAACTCCCTGTTCCCGTACCTAAATCAAGTACTCGTCCAGGGTTTCGCTTTATCGGAGCGCAGTACAGACGGCGATCTAATACATGGCGGTATATGAAGTGTAACTAGATATTGCAAGCATGGTTAGTGATTTTGATTATCACCTCAAAAAGAGAATGGAACATGCACATACCAAGTCCATACGGTCTTGCTCCCGTTTGTCGTTTGGCTGATGTGTATGGTATGTTAATTCGCAGACAACAGGGATATATGGTAAATGGATAGAGGATGAAATAGCGCACCAAAAAGTATGCTCCATCTTCCAATCTGTGATATCGCCGGCCATTCTGAAAGCACCGCCAAGATTGCATTGTGAATATCATGATGCCAAATGATCGTAGTCCTTTTCCAATGGTTGATGGACATTTGCCAGCTTACCTCGTTCCTGAAATGAATATAGAACACGGCATTAGCATCACTTCACTCCATCGTAGGTAGGGTAAACTAGACGATGCTGGATGCGGATGCAAAGATTTCCCCCTCACCTGTAGTTAAATACAGTGGAAGCTATTGATGAAGTATCACTACATCTTAACGGTAAAGGGTTAGCAGTTGCGACCATTTATATACACACTATCCCACCCACGTAAGTCTGCAGACTTTCTTTTAGGGGTTGGAGGAGGGACTCACGGGCTTCCACGTCGTGGCTGGAGGTCAGATTCCTGGATTTCATCCTGCCATTCCAATCCTTTTAATCAGCAGCTGCTTGTTATTTTATTCCGAGTGCGGTAGTATCACAATGGGCAGTTCTCGCCGGTTGGGGACAGAAGTCAGAAGGAGCAGGCTGATCCTACATCGCACACAATAGGCAGATCCATCCTGGCTGCACCGCTCAGAATGGCTTGCCAGTTGAATGATGCCGTTATGATTGTATGAAGAAGCTGCAGCAACCTCGCAGACAAGTTTCAACCTACGTATTGGCGTATTGCTAGAATCTCGGCCGCACAAAATAGAAAATAAATAAATATAAATAAATAAATAAAAAGAGGTATTGGAAACTGTTTGGATGGTGTAAGCGAAGGATAGTTTAGGACCTTGTGGCTCGTGGGTATTCAGTGACTTGATTTATGTATGGTCTTCATCCAGGCAGTTTTTCTCGCCTGCGACGGTTATCTGTCAATGGTGTATAACGGAAGAATAAAGCAGGAAAATATCCCTTTCAGTCTCAAAAGAGTAGAGCCAGGAGATGAAGTTTAATGAATAAAAAATCACACTTAAAGAACGCCGGAAAGACTTATTACATGGCTCAGCCTCGTTCAATCGGCTACTCGCATCGGATCACGGCGCACGCATCCTCAACTGCATTGCCGATGCAGCTGTTGGATAATATCTTAGTGGGCATTTCCGGGACAGAGGGAGTCTACCGGGTTTTTTGGGAAAATTCTGGGTGACAATGTGATCAACTTTGCTTTCCGCGGAGGGTATTGATTCGATGCTGAATGGTCGACCGCGGTCCTGGACGGAATAACTAATCGTTGTGATCTGCGATGTCGCCAGTTTCCTGTGCTGCTTGAGCTGCGATTGTCTGAGCGGGGATTTACGATCCGAACACGCACGCTATTCTTTCTATATTCTCAGATTGTTCGATTAGTTGAAGTAAAACCAGAAATATCATCATTCTTCTTTAATCTTCGGTTTCCTTACTACGTAGATATATTAAATATTCATTCGCCGGCCATGCACTCTTTCGCGGGTCATAAACAACTAGCTGCATACGACCTCTGCAGTATTAGAGGGATCCTGCAAGCACCTTTCGCAGTAATTCCCTTCCTTATATGGTTTAACATCATGTAAATTAACATTCAGTGGTGTTTTTAATTAACATCACTATCACACAGGTGGATCTGTACATGCGATGTTTCCACATGAATTCATACACAGAATTGACATGCAGTTATAATGATTGACACTTCATCATCTGCTGTAGAATAGATATAATCAATCTCATTAATCTCATCAACCTAATAATCAATGTCAACATTTTTTTATTATATCTCATATTATTGTTGTGAGAATGAAAGATACTGAAATCATGAATAAAAGTCAGTAGTGAGACAGATTGACTGTCAACTTCATCTAAATCTTTCTCTATTCATATTATCTTTTCTGATTTACATTCACAATTATCATTATCATTGTCATTATTATTATCAAGTTGTCAATCTTCTCAATATGAATTTTTATTTTCTAATTTGCGGAGCGAAGCGAAGCAATATGTTAAGTGCTTTCAAAACCTGATTAGAATAGAAGACACAATCTTGCAGATCTCATTCAGTGATATAAGTTCTGATTCAAGATAGAGTATATCAAGAAAATCAGAAATCTGGTGAATGAACTCTCTCACAGATCTGACTATGTCAAGAAAATAAGAGCAATGAATACAGAAATATTAGAGAAAACAGAAAAGCTTCACAGAATACTCAGACTAAGTGTGGCGGGCTGCGCCCGATCATAAGACTATTTCATTACACTTCATAGATTCCTGCCGAAAGCCCCGATTCTCAGTCGCCGATCCTCAGCCGAAGAACTCACAGAGTTCTTATTCTTTCATCTCAAAAGCTTCTATTCTTCCACCCTAAGGCTCCACCTTGTACATGTATAAATATCCACTTTGATCACTGATTCTTGCACTTTCTCTTTTGTTTTTCTTCTCTAATGTTTTCCACTTTTGTTATATAAGACCTATATATTAATATTAATCTATTCAGTGTAGGTGTAAGAGGCCTACGCCGAATAGATCGGTATAATATATAGGTCTTATATAACAAAAGTGGAAAATGTTAAGAGAAGGAAAAAAAGAGAAAGTGCGGGAATCAGTGATCGGAGTGAATATTTATACGCGTACGTGGGTTCTTCGGCCGAGGATCGGCGACAAATAGTCTATATGATTGATCAGGCGCAGCCCGCCACAGTAGGCTCTCTACAATTGAAAAACATTCATTATCTTCTCATTAGAAATGATTATTTATTGAAAAGATATCTGAATGTGTAATAACATGTAAAAAATAGAGATATCAATAATTAGTTAAGTAAACACTGAGTCTCTAAATAGAAGCTTACTTACCAGTCATTCTGACTGTCACGCCCCCGGCCGCGTCAAGGCCCTGCTGCGGTTTCACACGGCCCATCGCTTCCATGCGGATGATTTCATCCCATTCGAACCGGTTTCCAACCACTCTATGACATCATTCAGATATATCATAGAAAGATCTGATTGATAAATATGAGAACTCTGCTTCTATACAAGATCAGGAGATTACTCTTTCTTAATAGTGAGATACTACTAAGATATCACTTCAGCTATTCTTACTTATGAAATGAGAGAAGAGTATCTACTTATTATCTATATAGAATAGCTAGATACTGACTTCTTATTAAAAAAGTCAGTAATTTGTTTTTCTTCTACTGAAATATATATAAGAGTTACTATATATCTTATATAATCTTCTTAGTATATTAAGTATTATATCTGTAATATTCTTATAATAACTCTGTAGTCTATAAGCTTACTATTTAAGTAAGATAGTTAAGTTTATTTATATAGCTTCTTAAATAACTATCTCTATATAATATTACTAACTAGTTATCACTTCAGTTCTATTATATTATAATTTGAATTACTTAATCTAATTATAAGTTTAAATCAGTCAAGCTTTAACAGACTGATATAATTTTATATACTTATACTGAGACTGATCTGATCTCATTCTCTGAGAGAAATACTATATTATTCTTTAAAATATATACATTTTTACTCTAATAGAAATCTGAGATTTCTGAAGCTACTGTATATTTTAATATAAGCTCTTTAATTACTTTATTACTGCTGCAGTCTCTACACATCTATATTTATTATAAAGATAGAGAGATTAAAGTCAGAGATTCTCTGAGATATAAAAGAAATATATTATCTGAATTTCACAGCTTTACTTATACTCTTAAACAGAAATTTCATCTTAATCTGAGTTAGTATAATATTTATAAAATATAAGTAATATACACTGTTAATCTTCTTAAAGATATCTCTGTAACTACTTAAACTATTAAGAAGAGAGAGCTTAAGTATACTGATACTATAATAATTTAAAAAGAATTCAAGAACTTTCTACTAAATTAAATTAAAAATTATTATAATTACAGCTTTATAGTAGTATAGCAGTTTAACTTATTATATTAATAAGATAATAAGAATTCTTCTGATTTTAATATAAGATTTAAAGAATATTAAGAGAAATTAACTAATAATTTAAATTAATTAAAAATACAGCTTTATCTTATAAAACTGACTTATAAGATATAAATAATAATATTATAATATCAGAGTTTATTAATTAATTACACTGAGCTTATCAATCTGACTTCTCAGATCTATTTAAATAATTAATTCTCTGAGAAAAAGACTAATAAAATCTCTTTTAAATAATTAATAATAGAATCTAAACAGTGTTATAACAGCTTTAGTGTAGAGAAAGTAAAGAAAAATTTCAAGTATTTTAATTCTTTACTCACTACAAAGAAATATTAAAAAAAATTTAATAAAGATCTCTATTTTAACTATGAAGCTGATAATTACTATATCAGTAATTATAAAAAGTTAAAGAAGAGAAGAAACTGAGAAGATATCTTTTTAAAGTTAACTTCTCTTCTAATAAATATATCTGTGAAAGATAAAGAAGATAAAGAAATGAAAAATTAATAATTCTTATATCTTTAAGTTTATATTATAATTATAATATATACTCTGAATAAGAAGATATCAGTGAGATATTTACTTGACTTTAGAGTAAATACTAACTTCATATTCTATTTCTTTTTTTTAATAAAGAATTGAAAGAAGATAAATCTATCAGATTATATAAAATTTACTAATAAAATAAAATATCACTGTTTTAACATAATTTAAGTAAAGTATATAATTATAAACTTAGAAGAAATCTTTAAGAAAAGCAGTCTGCTTCTTTATACAGTTAATATTATAGATAAGAACATTATTCTAGATCTTCTATAGTTGTCATACTCTCAGCCGCGTCAGGGCTCTGTTGTGATTTCACACAGCTCATCACTTTCATTCGGATGATTTCATCTCATTTGAACCGGTTTTCAATCACTCTATGATATTATTCAGATATATCATAGAAAGATTCAATTAATAGATATAAAAATCTTACTTCTATACAAGGTCAGTAGATTACTCTTTCTTAATAATAAGATGCTGCTGAGATATCACTTCAGCTATTCTCACTCATGAAATAAGAGAAGAGTATTTACTCATTATCTATATAGAATAGCTAGATGCTGATTTCTTATTAAAGAAGTCAGTGATTTATTTTTCTTCTACTGAAATATATACAAGAGTTACTGTATATCTTATATAATCTTCTTAGTATACTAAGTATCATATCTATAATATTCTCACAATAACTCTGTAGTCTACAAGCTCACTATTTAAGCAAGATAGTCAAGCTCACTTATACAGCTTCTTAAATAACTATCTCTATATAATACTGCTAACTAGTCATCACTTCAGTTTCATTATATTACAATTCAAATCACTTAATCTGATTATATTTTTAAATCAGTCAAGCTCTAACAGACTGATATAATCTTATATACTTACACTGAGATCAATCTGATCTCACTCTCTGAGAGAAACACTACATCATTTTCTAGAGTATGTATATCTTTATCTCAGCAGAAATCTGAGATTTCTGAACTCACTGTATATTTTAGTATAAGCTCTTTAATTACTCTGTCATCACTGTAATCTCTACACATCTACATCTATTATAAAGATAGAGAGATTAAGATCAGAGATTCTCTAAGATATAAGAGAAATATCTTATCTGAATTTCACAGCTTTATCTATATTCTTGAATGAAAATTTCATCTTAATCTGAGTTAGTATAATACTTATAAGATATAAGTAATATACACTGTCAATCTTCTTAAAGACATCTCTGCAACTATTTAAGTTATTAAGAAGAGAGAGCTTAAGTGTATTAATACTATTATAACTTAAGAAGAATTCAAGAACTTTCTACTAAATTAAATCAAAGATTATTATAATTACAGCTTCATAGTAGCACAGCAGTTCAACTTATTATATTAATAAAATAATGAGAATTCTTCTGATTTTAATATAAGATTTGAAGAATATTGAGAGAAATTAACTGATAATTTGAATCAATTAAAAACACAGCTTTATCTTATAAAGCTGACTTATAAGATATAAATAATAATATTATAATATCAGAGTTTATTAATTAATTATACTGAGCTTATCAATCTGACTTTCTGAATCTATTTAAATAATTAATTCTCTGAGAAATAGATTAATAAGATCTCTTCTAAGTAATTAATGATAAGATTTAAACAGTGCTGTGATAGCTTCAGTGTGAAAAAAGTAAAGAAGAATTCTAAGTATTCTAATTCTTCACTTACTGTGAAGAAATACTAAAAAAGATTTGATAAAGATCTCTATTTTAACTGTGAAGCTGATAATTACTATATCAGTGATTATAAGAAGTGAAAGAAGAAAAGAAACTGAGAAGATATCTTCTTAAAATTAACTTCTCTTCTGACAAATGTATCTATGAAAGATAAAGAAGAGAAAGAAATGAAGAATTAATAATTCTTATATCTCTAAGTTCATGTTATAATCACAATATATACTCTGAATGAGAAGATATTAGTGAGATATCTACTTAACTTCAGAGTAAATATTAACTTCATATTCTATTTCTTTTCTTTAATAAAGAATTGAAAGAAGATAGATCTGTCAGATTATATAAAATTTACTGATAAAATAAAATATCACTATTTTAGTATAATTCAAGTAAAGTGTGTGATCACAGACTTAGAAGAAATCTTTAAGAAGAGTAGTCTGCTTCTTCATACAGTTAATATTATAGATAAGAATATTATTCTAGATCTTTCATAGTTAAGAGAAAACAATTCTCTCATTGACTGAGTCACTCAGATATGACAGTACTGTCTCACTAATAAAGAGACAGTAATAGAGAAATCTGAAGAGTTTCATTAAAAGAATCTTAAGAAGAAGATTGAGTTGATATACTATATAGCAGATAATTGAGACTTGAAGATAGATGAAGAAGTCATCATTCTCACTGCAAGATTAGCAGCAGTATTCATTATTAAAGACAGATATATACAACATCTTTTTACAGATTTTAAGAATATCTTTTTAGAAAGAGAAGTAGTGAAGTTTTCTGATATTAAAATATAATATAAGATTTATCTTAAAGACAGTGTAATAGTGCTATACAGATCTCTTTATAACTTATCTATAAAGAAATTGAATGTTCTATACAAGTATCTTAAAGAAGTGTAATTAAAGAACTGAATATATTTATCAAAGAGTCTGACAGAAACATCTATACTCTTTGTACTCAAGAAGAATAATAGACTATATCTATGTATAGACTACAGAGATCTTAATAAGATAATAATTAAGAATTACTATTCATTACTATTAATTAATAAGATAATCAATTGATTATCTGAAGTAAAGATATTCTCAAAGATTGATATATAGAATGTCTATCATAGAATCAGAGTTAATGAAGATAATATTTAAAAAATAACTTTTCATATCAAGTACAGTAATTTTGAATATCTGGTTTTATCTTTTAATCTTTATAACACTTCAGTCATCTTTCAGATCTATATAAATAAGACACTGTGAAATCTTATTAATATCTTCTACATAGTATATC